AGCGTTGACATGACCATTCACACTTTGCTGTAAAATGAAAAAAAACTAGCATGAAAAGCTTCTAAGAGCTTCGATTTTCTCAGGAGTCAGGAGTTCTGACTGAATGCTGGGCTTGGAAGATCGTGGTTATCAGGATTCTGACTTCAAGGTTATGATAAAGTCATTGAAGTAAGATTATTGTGATATTCAGCTAATTATACTGACGATTCATCAGCGACGCGAAGGTCCTGCGCGTTACATATGCTGCAGTTCACCCTGATATATCCTCTCGATTGCATTCCACGACGAACAATCGCCTCTCGTCCAGCCATTTGATCATCGGCTAGTTGTTTCTGCAAAAATCATAGGAATAAGTCGATAAAAAGTTTTCTTTCAAGAAGCTTCAACATTTTTTCAATTATTTGGTGGGAATATTTCTTCAGGGATTATCTCCGAATCAGTTTCCATTATGGAAATGGCCGTCAAAGTGAGTAGTTTTGTAGAACTCCCTTAAACTTTTTCACTTCGCCTGGAAACTGGTATGCTGAAAAGGACAGCCAAAAAAGTCTCTAACAACACGATATATAAGGGGACAGCCCTTGTTCTACTTCTTCAGCTATATCACTATGTCCGCACTTTCTGTTCATTCATCATTGCACCAAGTACGTTCTTTCTATCATGCAATATCCGGTTGTATAACATCAACGCTCTCGGTCTCACACGATCGGGAAAGAAATATTCAGCCAAAGCCAGTGTTTGTCGTGACATCCACACCTGAAATTTCGGTGAAGTCCTCCGTTCCTCCATAAATTACAAGGTACTGAACGCAATGAGAGTTTGCTTGCAAAGGGCTACAAGAAACGAATAAGTGAGGCTGTCGCTCCGAAACCGTGATCTGAAGCGCGAAAGGCGAACTGTACATCCAATTCTGAAAAGTTCTTGCCACGCGCGAAAAGAGCAGCTTGGCAGCAGTGCAAGTGTAACATTTTTTTCGCTTCAGAGCGCGCGGAAATAAGGCTGAAAGACAGTGATACCCAGGTGCCCTTTAGGACTCCGCCGGAGCTATCCTCGGGATCACCGCTTGTGTCGATGCCACAGTGAACACACGGTTAGACGTGTGGTGGAAAAACATTTGAAAGGGCGTAGACAAGTAGCATTTTGCTTTGCTTCAACGTGTGGGAAAGCACAGCGCATTGGGAAATCCGGAAGCGGCACCCCGGTTTAGCTACCCTATGTTAAGATGCACCCTTGAGCAAGGGAAAGTCACGCTTCCACAGCTAAGGACTCACTCACCTCGCGCATGGTAAGGAATAGAGTCCACGAAAGTGGGTGTATAGCTTGTCATTGAAGGAACGGGGTTTTCGGGGCTAACTCGATCGTTGTTGTCACTGTGATTACTGACTGATAGCTGGTGATGGTTAGAGGGACTCGTGTAAGTTTGTTGAAATTTCAATACCATGCAGCTATGCGCGCAGAGGTCAAACTAACCTGAAAACGACAAAGAAACAAAGCTGCGACAAACATCCACACAATCGACCAAAAAGTGTTTTTGTCCGGTTGAGATGGACTGACGAAACAATCTCTCCACCTGAAATCCGTATTTGTACGTAGGAGGTCTCAGCATACTCCTTCAAACCTTACTAAATAGGAGGTGCGTTCTTGGAAGATCGGGAATTTCGGTGCAATACATAGCTTGACCAAATCGCAGTGATACCAATATTATACAAGGAGTCCTTCTGGACAATGAACTCTTACGAGCTTAATTGCTATGCTAGTTCTACGTTTTTTTTTTCAAATGTTGGATGGCCAGTGTTGCTGGACATTAATGAAGTTTGCGTTTTGGGCTAGATTGCTGTTTTGGGCTAGATGCGAAGAAACAACTGATGCCTAGGGTAAGTACAGTCCTCATCATTGCGGACCGGTGGGGCGTGTCAGCCAGTATGAGTGTGCACACTGTTGAAGCCGTTCTCAGCCTTTTTGTTGAAACGCGTATGCGACAAAAAGTGGTAGAAAACGAGTAATACGAAGGATATAATACAGTAATGTCACTTGCCCGCTTCAACAACTGGTGCAGAACGACTTTGGCACCGCGCCAAACGCAGCCGCACTGACACGCCCCACCGGTCCGCAATGATGAGGACTGTATGTGCCCAATCCGGGGAAGAAGCAGCTCCAAGACAAGCAGGCCTATTCCTTCTGCTTGGAGAGGTTCTTACGGTTCCGTATTCAAATATAGGCATATTACCTTTCTCGTAGTGAAACAACTATAAAACAGACTACCTGTCATCTCTTTCACGAATGTCTGACGTCAATGGCGAGAACACTTCCTGGATGCTTCTCATCATTTTCGCGCTCTCCCCTTTACCCGATACCTGCAATGACTTTAATAAATCTACAAGGGGATTGAGCTAGTAGATGACAATGTTCTACTATTTCGTTTTGCATTGCGATTGGCCTTTCTGAAATTCGTCGAGTTTGACTGTCCTAATACCTAGAGGGACTCCAAAAGTCGATTTCTCTTCCAAAAGTCAACAAAAGAAGCCAATTTTCAAATTTCAATAGGTGTAAGCGCCCAATAGTCAAGCATTGCTCAGCTGTCAGAAGTACACCCTTCCGTCTGAGCAGCCAACGTGCTCAGACAGAAGGATGCACTTTTGATAGCCTTACCAAAGTATTAATTACCTTCATTTCATAATGTGATGGATAGTCCACGTGTACCAAACCGGTGAAGTAATACACGTTCGATAAGATCTGGAAGTTTAGGGTAAAATATGCAGAAAAGATATGTCATATCTGACTTGGTCACACGTCAGATCCTAATCCGAAAGTCACTGCTTCAACTCTTGACGCCTAATAAGTACGGAAATGGTGGGTAGACGTTCGTCTTCGGAAACCAAGCAAAACCTCAACAGAAACTGTTCCTTCTTTTTCCTAGAGATAGTTCACCGGATGTTAGAACAACTGTAGCCCTCCACAACCCAGTCGATGTAGTGTGTCTTCGTGATGCGCATTTTGGCGCGGCGCCAGATCATTTTCCACCAATCATTGCTCGCCTCATCTGGCCACGCCAAAATCCACGTCACACTGACAGGGACCGTTGATTTGATTGCGGAAGACAGTATTTTAAAATGCTAAATGCTTAAGCAATGAATTTTGACAGTTGGAATCTGATCCCAGGACTGACACACATCTCAGAAGGCCAGGTTTCTCTGAATGAAAACGTAACCGAGGCTTTAATCTCAAAAATGAACCACGACCCGTCCCTGACCTTCTATTTACACATGCCATTATTCTGACATCCGCCTGCGGCATAAGTAGTCTGGCAGTCACTAATTTTTGGAACGCCAAGAATAATGTTGTTCCTCTGTTGATTAAGTATCACGTAACTATCCCACCGAATAGACGGCTTCATCCATGCAAATGAAACAGAACGGCGTTGCGCTGAGGATTAACGTGATAACAACTCTAAGTCTGTAGTAGGCTTTCTCACGCGATGTCATCTTCCATGAGGTTCTTGGGATGTACTGAACAAAGGTTCGTTAGCTCATTAGGAGAAGAAGCACAGCCCCAGAAAGGGATGTGGAATTGTCGAATGTCCAGTCACACCAAGCGAAAGCACCTAAGCCCACGTGTGTTAGCCTCTATTTAGGGAGAATCGAGGGTTTCGTCCACTTGAAGATTTCCATTGGGGGAAAAAAGGGGCGGCAAACTGATTTGTATGGTTCGCGTCAAGTGATGCCGACGCCAAAAATTGGTTCTTGTATGAATTATCGATCAGGTCACCGAATAACCTCTACAAACAAAGCTTCAGCAGGCGAAATAGACATCTTGGGACCGAGTAGTTGAACAGTGCCCTACAAGTTTCTTTTCCTCCTTGTTCAGCGGCAACGCTTTCGTTCGACCGCGCAATGCCATATCCAGGTCAATTTTCTCAAATTCTTCCGTCAAATAAGTGTTCTGGTACTCTTCACGGTAGTTGAATTTGAACGTAAATAAGGCAGTCTGAAAATCTGTTTCGCTACGTCAAAAAACAACAAGCGTATAAAAGGACACTTACAGAGATAAAAGGCCAAATCATCGTTGCCGGTATGAATATCCACTTAATTATCGTCTGCATCGTTTCAAAAAATAGAATATATTGGGCAACAACGTCATGAAGACTTCTTTGAATTTGCTGAAAAGGGTTGATGTTGGGTCACTGAATGAGCTCTGTTCCTCAGTAAACTGAGTGGTGTAAAAGCCATTTTAATCATATGGACATGAGAAGTGAAATAATTATAGAACGTTGTCATGTTTTATTTAGCGCATTCAATTGAAGGGAGCGCTTTTAGTTCCCATTGTTCGGAGCCCACAACATCAGAGCTCTATTCCATCCTACTGTATAGCAACACTAGACAGAATCCTAACTAGTGAGGCTTATGTTAAAGGCAGCGCCCACGTTCATTTGATGTTCCCGCGCCCTCTCTGGATATCATAGCCCTCCCTATGAGGATGCAGTATGTACTAGTTTTGCATCTCAAAAAGGCGAGAGGATAGCGCCGTTCGCTAGTGAAGAGTCGGCCGCCCCGCCCACCTGGCCAGCATAGGGTTCTATATAGGGCATTTTCCATGATTTTTTTCTGCTTTTTTTCTTCACTACTGGATCACGTATTATATGAGCTCCATAACTCATTATTCTTGAAAGCGGGCTCAGCCTTTAAAGGCTAAGCCAAAGCAGTTATGGCAGCCAGGTGGGCGGGGCGGCATCCTCTCGTATTTTTGAGCTGCGAAATTAGTACATCCTCCACCCTTGTCGACAAAGCTACGATATCTAAGGAGGGCGTAGGAACATCAAATGAACGCGCTGCCTTTAATGCAAAAAAGACCGTAGAATTGGGAGCGAGATGCGTATGCTTCCGCTTCTCCAACACCCTACTCGTTCTTGATATATCGGAAAGTTCAGATGTAGAGCTAACCAGGGAAGGTCAACAGGTCAGCCTGGCCATTTCCAATGAGGTGCACACCGTTGTGCGCGTCTTGAGACGGTGAACTCAAATCTACCTTCAGAATTTGCGGAACGGTTCTCTGAACGGAGTTATGGAGGGTTTTCTTCCTGCGTGGTTGTTTTACATGCTATTGCGAGGAAACGTGCAAGCGTCTTTACATTTATGTATAGAGTCGTATCCAGAGGTGGCAGTAGGGCGCAACAGGTAACGAGCGGGTTTGCTGGGCAAAACGTCGGGATCGTGGGATCGGTTCCCGGCTGGTTGTCCATTTTGCAAATTTCCGAAACATGGCCGACAAAGCTTTAACAGCTCTGCTCGCCTGCAGTACCCTGTGAGGGAACCTGCAATCAAATTCTTCAGATGTGTGGGCCCATTGTGGCCTGAAATAGTGCTTGTGCTTGTCTCCCTCAAAACACATGTCACGATGGTTCTTGCAATGAAATACCATGAATTCATATTCATGCGGCGTCAAATTACCCTGAGGACTTCCTGGCCAATAATCTGATGTTATCGACTTCACTTGCGATAATGTGGGCTATTCTATGGGCATTAGCGCATCCATCTAGCCAGTAGCAAACGGGTCCACCACCAGATCCACATCCCGCTCACCCCCAAGCTATCCCCACCTCACACCCCGTTGCCCCGCGTCAGCGCCACCGCAGATTCACACCCAGCTCACCACGCATCACCACCCGCTGTTCTGACCACCACCACTCCGCCCATCCCCCCACTCCCTCGTCATACATCTCCCCTCTCACCCACATCCCCCTACCCTCCTCGTTCCCATTCATGACCCGCCCGAACCCCGCCCACTGGCCAGGACCTCCCGCCTCTCCCTCTCCACAAAATTCACCAGCTCTCCACATTGCGAAACACTACATAGCCTAATCACGCCCGGCCACCGGACCGGACCGCGGCAGCTTCCCTCTCACTCGCCACACAGGCAGCCCTACCGCCTCCCCCAACACCGACCCGAACATATACCTACCTCAATTGCGACCGCCAAAACGAGCCCACCACACCAACGTCAGACCAACAGCTCCGCACACCTTCACACTTATTTCGAGCCCAGCTACCTACCCCCGACAAGCCGTATGACTGGTCTCGGGATTTGGATTTATCCCTGGGGATCAGGAAATGATGCATGGCGGCCATGAGCCCGGTTTTTTCTTTGCCGAGAAGGCAATGCGTTTAAGAGTCTATTCAGCCCCAAAGACAAGTCATCCCCGCATGCTAGTCCAGTTGGTATACCTCAGCATGATTAGCTCCCCCCTACCCATTTCGAAGCTGAGTCAGAAAACTCAGATGTGTCTAACGATGCCACCTGATAAGTCGTAACATTGACCCTCCTGAAACACGACTCAGGGTACCTGTTGTGGCGCGCTATTTTCGCCGAAGAGCCGCCGTTGCCGTCGTCGCCTACTGTTGCCAACGCCTCGGCGCCAGCGCGCCGGAAGAAGAAAAACAGCAAAGAAAGACCTCCATAACTCCGCTCAGAGAATGGTCCCGCAAATTTTCAAGATAGTTTTAAGTTTGCCGTCTCAAGGCGAGTGACGGATTGTGCACCTCATTGAACTGGCACAGACTGACCTGTTGACCTTTCCTGGTAAGTAAGCCATCATACTGAGGTTGTGACCACGATATCGATGAAGCAGTCCCCGTTCAGGTAAACATGAAGGGTCATGCAATTGTTCTAATTCCCATGAACATAGCCCTTTGTTGAAAAATCATTCTTCGATCTCTAATAATTAAGGAATTTTTTTGGTGCTAATCGACTTGCCAAAAGAAAACGCAGAAGGCCTCACTAAGAACGCCCTAGAAGCGACTTTTGGTTGATTCTTAGCCGTGAGCGAGCGTGCGTTAGTTAGAGGGGCAGAGACGCTCAGCGTGTTCCTGAGAGTTGCACACTGGTAGGCACAATGGTGGCAGGTGAATTAATTGCAGCAGTTCGTTTATAGGAATTTATTAGTGTATGAGAGGTCCATCAGGAAATCCTCAAACTCTTGTCACGTACTTTTTGGCTGCTAAAGTGGCGCACTCCCTGAGGTTGCGGACTGCAACTGGTATCATCGCAATCAGTCACGTCGATTTCCAGAGGGATGGACTGACCTACCCTCCCCCCTGCGGCCTTGCCACCACTGGTTAATTTCGTTCTAAACCAATCATTAACCGTTCACCATAGGTAGAGCAAGGCACTTCAGAGCGGATTCACCCCGCTCTCGTCACACCGCTAGCTGATTGCGATGTGAGAAGCTATACACCTTATCTGAAGGTGGGAAGGATTTCTCGCCTAGCGAAGCACAGAATGTAGCCTTGAAGACAGCCTCGCGCTCAAGTAGTACATGGTCGTCCTTCCTTGTGCAAGTAGTCTTGCCCCAAGCTAGAGACTGTCCCACTCTCGCGACTCCACAGTGAGCGAGGAGCGAGCTACAGCCGCTGAAAGTTCTAGTTCTAACGCCCGCCCAGTTGGACCGCCCACTTGCTAGATGCCCTCTGACGGAGGGCCGCTCAGTTGTTCTTTGTTGGGGCGGCGGGCATTAATCGGAATTGCATGTCTTTTTGCTGACCGCGCTCGTGCCCATAAATAATTCTGCTCTCCTTTATTACATTTTATTCATTAGGAGCACATACAGTCAACTGCAACCCATCTCGCAAGGTAAAACGCGTAAAAATCACGAGTGATGCAATTTTCGTGGTGCAAAA